CGAAATTCAAGCTCTATAGGCAAAAACTGAGTAAAAATTCAATATCTCAGCAACAAAGCACCATGGGGATGAACCACCTTAGGGTATTTCACTACTCACTGAGGTCTACAAGATACAAGTAGTGCAAGTTCAAAAGCGATTTATAACCTCACGAGGTCCCCTCGTGAGACGGCTTTTTTCTAGAACGTTTAATATCATTGAATTTAGAAGTAAAAAAAGAAAAAAACATAGTACTCCTTGTTCCTTTATGCATTGTCATCAATTCTTTTACTTTTTTTCATCGATGTTTCTTAGACCTTGAAGCTAAACGTTTTCACGTTTTACCCGATAACACAGTGCTACTGATCTTTTTAATTTTTTTACAGCATTGGCCTCGTCTCTTTCTGAGATACACAGAGAAATGATTCACATATTTATATAATGCATCTCTCTCATTCCAATAATTCTTATAGAATATTATCTTTAAAACGAATGAATAATAATAAATATTTATCATTTTTCAGTCGTAAACATCTGCTTTCATTCTCATATGATTGTTCGTGGCTATTTCGACAAGATAAAAGTATGTGTTTCGATATTTTCTAAACGTATTATCAAAATCAAGGACCACAAAATATCGACGTTTAAGCAGTAAGTAACTTAATTTAATAACAAGAATTTTGACTGGATTTATAAAGAAGAGTACTGTCGTTTTAGATATCCCTCAAAGAAAAAATGAATTCATTCAATCTATTGCTTTTAATCGGTTGTGTATTAGCTGTCTATCAATTGACATCAGGTGCATCATCAACACCCAGAGGTTCAACACCAAAAGGTTCAACACCAAAAGCAACTACTCCAAGAGGAACAACGGTACCAGCACGTCCAACTACATGTGTCTGTAGTTGTTGTTCAGGTCTCATGTGTACACCAAAACCGGTATATACTTACTTTGACGCTGGGGCGACTGTCGAAATATTGCACGATCATCTTAATAGGGAGTGAATGTTGCATTATGCCGCCACTAACAATACTGCTACTTGGAAATCGCACGTAGATTAGTTTCTCATATCATTACACCATAGGTGGCTCTATGATGATGTACGGAAAAAACCTGCCATTCAAGATGTAAAGATTTGATGCCCGACACCTGTGATAAATTTGTTGGTTCAAATAAAGCTTATTGCAGTTATTAAAAGAGTAATTTTATGTTTAATGGTTTCTGCAACAGAATAAGATACAGCTTAAGTATGTTAAAATAAAGAATATGTCAACAATTCAATTTTTAAATAAATAGAAATCACTTATTACTAGTTTGTATTTCATTTCTGTATACTGACGAATAAGAAGATTCGTCAAGATCGATAAGAATGTGAACCAGTTCGCCCGAGTCGTCTGTATAT